GCCTGTTGGCTATTTGTATTTCTTCTTTGGAGAAGTGTCTGTTCAGGTCTTCTGCCCATTTTTTAATTGGGTTATTTGTTATTTGGGTGCTGAGGCATATGAGTTCTTTATATCTTTTGGAAGTTAACCCCTTATCAGATGAGTCATTTGTGAATATATTCTCCCTTTTTGTTGCCTTTTTGTTCTGCTGATGGTGTTTGCTGTACAGAAGCTCTTTAGTTTTATGTAGTCCCACTTGTTCACTTTTTATTTTATTTCCCTTGCCTGAGGAGATGTATTTTATTTTCCTTGCCTCCAGGAAAAAATTGCTCATGCTTATTTTATATTCCAGAGATTTTGTTGTGTTTTCTTTTAAGAGTTTTATGGCTTCATGACTTACATTCAGGTCTTCGACCCATTTTGAGTTTACTTTTGTGTATGAAGTCGGACAGTGATCCAGTTCATTCTCTTACATGTATCTGTCCAGTTTTGCCAACACCAATTGTTGAGGAGGCTGTCTTTTCCCCATTACGTATTCAACCTACCCATTATTATTATTTTTTTATTTTGGTATCATTAATCTACAATTACATAAGGAACATATGTTTACTAGACTCCCCCCATCACCAAGTTCCTCCCCCTCATTACAGTCTCTGTCCATCAGTGTAGTAAGATGCTATAGAGTCACTACTTGTCTTCTCTGTTCAACTTACCCATTATTGAGTACTTACTATGTGCCAGGATTCTGCTGAATAATCTGTGAAATATGTCATTCAATTGAATCCTTACAACAATTTATGCAGTAGGTAAAATTCATATTATCTTTGACCGGCAAGGAAACTGAGACTTAGCAAGCTAAATAAAAGAGTTTATCCAAGGTCATGGAGTTGGTAACTCATAGAGCTGGGATTCAAATTCTGGGCTGAATGATCTCCCAGGCAGCTTTTAACCAGTATATTATACCAGCATTCAGAATTGTGAGAGATAAATTTTTATTGTTTGAGTCACACACTCTGTGATATTTGTTACAGCAGCTCAAACAGACTAAGACAGTAGTAGATGAGAAAACTGTCATCTGAAATGATTCCTTATAAGCTGCTAATTCTCTTGGCTAAGTGACTATGCAAAAAAGCCTCAGGTGCATAGTATTTGACCCACAATTTATTGCAAAGTATATTTTGGAAAATAAACTGATAGAAGCTAGTCACTTCAGAGGAATATGCTATACAATGTTGTACTTTCTGCCTCCTGGGTTCTGATTTTCGGAACGACAGCCAAAGCACCAGGTGGACAGAGTTCCCACCACAGCCTCCTTGGGAAACCTCAGACTCGCTCATGCCCCAGACAAACTCCCCTTAGATAGAAATGGAGAAATTGTTTGTGTTCCATTAGTAAGTAGGTCATAAAATCCCTAGTAATGCTTTAGGTCAGGGTAGAGTTTTTTTCCTTGTGCACAGTACACTAGTTCTTACTGGTCCTTGCCTTGGCATATGAGTTAAAATATAGCTCCCACTAGGCACCTGTCATTCTAGCCCTACCTAGTTACCTGTGATTGATTCCTCAGACATTCACTGCTACCACCATCTCCCATGCCTTTACTCAACCCCTTTCTTTGGCTTCAAATGCCTCTCAGCAGGTCTCTCAACTTCAGCTTCCCCCAGACATGGATGACTTGCTCCCCTGCAAACCCACACCTCCTTTGTGGTGTAACTGATCTGCTGTGAAGCTTTCTTAAAGCTTCCCAGATTGAAGACCATTACTGGATCGCAGTTTCTCAGAGGGTGGCCTCTGAGCTCTTGTAGTAGACTCTCAGGAACTGGGGAGGGGATGGGAGTGGTGGATGAATTTGTTGGAAAAGTGGATTGGCTCTCAGAGCAGGCCTGCCAGTCAGGATCAGCTTGGGAGCCAGGTGGCTAAGTGACTCCTAAGTGATGCTTGGGCTACTGATGTTGGGGAACCATTGTTCTCAGGGTTGTTAAAAGCCTGTAAGTCAAACCCCACAGCCTATAAATCTTTGTCTCCTTCCCTCCAATCAATCACTTTATGTATTTTGTAAAAGGCAGAATGCTTTGGTCTATTTTCAAGTTATTGTTTGGTTTGCTTCTTTTCCCATTGCAGTATGTGTCTTCTCTTCCTTTTCCCCACCTTCCAAACAGTAGAATGTGGCTACTAGAGGGTAGTGACAGCTCAGCCCAGTGTTATGCACTTAATAAAGAAATGGGTATTTAAATGCAATGTCCAAGCATGGTCTTTCCAGGTTTGGGGCTTAAATATTAAGCAGACCTTAGGCCTGCAGCTGCTGTGTGAACTCCTTTTCCACACTGAGGAAGCAACCTCATCCTAATGTGTGTTAAAAGGACAGGGCTGTTTGCCTAAATGCAGCTGAAACTGCCCCCTGGTCGCAGCACAAATGCTGCTATTAGGTGATGACAGCCCCGAGGGACAGCAGCGTCTTCCGGCCAGGGCAGGGGTGGCCTGGACTGCTGGGAGGAAAGAGTTGCGTCCTTTAGTATGACACAGGGATGCGTTTGGGAAATGAAGAGTTCCTGCTCGCAGACAAATAGGTCTTAAAAGTCACACGCTCAGATATGGGCCAGTCTGAACAGGAAAAGCAGGACTTCTTACTTGTCAGGAGGTCTGCTTGAAAAGAAAAAGGAACAAAAAGACCCACTGAAATATTGCTTACTTCCTCTAGGGAAGGACACATTCTTGGATTGAATTCTAAAGGATGTTGGACCCAACAAGTCTTATTCTGGGACCATTTGTTTGCCGAAACCCCAAAATCATTCAATCCTGGAATCACTGATTTTAAGGACACAGTAGTTATGTTTCATTCTATGTGGTCATTTGCCAGCGTTGTGATTAGCAACGTAGCTGTGCTCACACCTTAGGTTTGCAACGTATGCAAAATCATTTTGGTAGCTTTCTGAGTGTAGAAAGGGCCTTTAATGTTTTGGTTCTCCAAATGAAATGAAGACAAACTTTAAAAAGTGCTGACCACTTTCCCTGGCTATCTGGAAACCTCGAAAGAAATTCAGTGTTCATTTGCCCCAACGGTCGGTGAAGTTATTGATCCACTGATCTTTTTCTTGTCATTAAAAAAATGTTGAATGTTGTATGTTTTCATTCTGTAAATCATCTTAAAGCCTTTTTGGAAGTGGAATTTCACTTTTTAAAAAAACTATTAGGAAAAAAAGAACTATGAAACATGGGAGTTGGTGTTCTGTGGTGTGCGCCCCACTGACCGCCAAGGCGCCATGCTCCACTCCCGTCGTGGCTGAGCTCTAGGCTGTCAGCTAAGGTGTCGGCAAGCAGACCCAGTTCCCAGACGAGTTCACCCACTATGGCTGGTGACATGCTTACTTCTTCCTTCAGTGCTGGCATCTTTTTCTGGGAGTTACATAAAAAAATTGCATTGAAACCACCTCCACATTTTCTAGAGACTTTTTTCCCTCCCTGTTGAAAGTCAGCTGGAAGATGCCTGGGGCTTTTCTTTGTTGCCATTGTTATTGTTTTAAGCATGCCTCTGAATTTACTTTTGAATGCTTTGTTTCCTTGTTTGCAAAGGTAGGTGCTAAAACTCATACATATTTGGTGAAGTTGAAATCGGGGTAGCCTTTCTAGAAAGTCAACTAGCAATATTTACAGACAAAGTACATGTCCGTTTGTCTAGGAACATAACCTATTGATATACTTCAACATGTACTGAAAATGCATTTATAAAATCATTTTCCCTGGAGATTTTGTCTGCCATAGCAAGCATGTCTGGAAACAGCCTAAATGTCCATCAATAGAGGGAGTAAATAATCTATGTGGGTCATCCATAAAATAGAATGCTACAGAGTCATTAAAAAGAATAGACGAATCAGAATATTCTGAAATGGAACAATACATTACTAAATTAAAACAGTCAAGGAATGTGCTTCGAGTTGTGGAAAAAGAAAAAAATATATAGTTGAATGTGCATAGATAAATTTTAGAAAACTATACAATAAGCTGTTCAAAGATATTGAATGCCCCCGAAAAGAACTGTAATGAGAAGCTAATTTACATTGTACATCCCTTTGTTCTGTTAGAAATTTTCATGTGTGCACTTTTTTCACCAGAAAAAAAAAGGAAATATAAATTGTCTTGCACAAATCACACACATATGAACAATGGATCTGGAGTTAGACCGGATTCAAATATTAGTGCTGTCGCTTACCAGCAACCTTGGGACACTCCCTAATCTCTTGGTAATTTACTTGTGGTGACTATCTCATGGGGTAACTGTGAGGATAAAGTTACAGAAAGCATATAAAATAGCACAGCCAGGACACAAGGTACTTTTTCAGTAGATGTAAATGTGTAAATTAATGATGATGATAATGATAGTGAACATTTATTGTTTACCATGTGCCAGGTACTGTATTAAAAGCTTTACATATATTAATTCATTAAACCCTTAGAACAACCCTATGAGGTAAGTTCTATTTTCTTCCTAATTGTACATACTGAGAGAGAAACTGAGGCACAGAGAGATTAAGTAACTTGCCCCAAAAGACACAGCTAGTAAGTGGTAGAGCTGGGATTCAAATACAGGCAGTCTGGCTCCATAACCTGAACTTTTCCCCACTTATAGACTGGCCTTGTCCTTGCTGGGCCGACACTCATGGCACAATTCTGAGGCTGATGAGAAGATCAGTCCCATTTCTCATAAAAATGCTGGGAATATTTGTAAACATTTTATAAGCCACATGGCAATACTTTCCTACCCAGTACCAAGTCAGAATATTGCAATGAAAATTACTCATGTTTTGAGGGAGGGTGTGGGGACTTTTCCCTCTGCCTTTGTTTTCTTCCAGTTGGATCCTCTCTGCTTGGGAATCAAAGTCACTGACAGAAACCCTGCGGTGAAGTCACTACTTCCTGCTGAAGCCACCAGGGACCATGGGATGTGGAGGGGGTGGGGACACCTATCTTTTCTGTGTCTATTAGCTCATAAACAAATTTAAGTTCAGAGAACATGCCCTCTTTCCTGAGGATCATTCAGGTTACACAGGTCTATCAAAACGACTTCTCTCAGGACAGTATACCAAATTTCTCAGGAGAGTCAAGACCTCATATTTCCTTTAGGTAAGCAATTCTTTAATATTTAACCCAAGTTTTCTCAGTTGAATATTTAACCCAGTTCTAATGTGGTGCCTTTGCTAGAAGAATAGCTGGTCCTTGGCCTTCTCATAGCCAATTTTAAAATGAAGTGCCCTTGAGAACAATTACATGATTTATCAGCCACTGACAGATCTGGAAAATATCTCAGGTCTGCATTAGTATGGTGTCTTGCTTTCTTTCATTGTCTCCAGAATCAGGCAGAATTATCTGAGTAATTATTCTTTGCTTCATCACTTTTTACTAAGTGCTCAACACTCATTCACATTCAGTTTGGAAATCACCATTTTCCTGTGCCAAAATCTTTCCAGTTTCATTCTTCCAAACTGTTGATCGGTTTTTCACTCTCTCTGTAAGAATTCATTTTGAACAATCTGCTAGTCAAGGGATCCTTGGTGCACTAACTTGAGACTGGATGCAGACACCAGCTTCTTGGAAAGATGCCCCTTCAATCATTCCAGACTCATTACCTTACTTGACTAATGTTAGAAGTGATTCAGGAGCCCCAGAGTTGCTCTTTCATTGGTGTCAGGCTCTATGTTGGAAGTGCCAGGCTCCCTCAGACCTCCCAGGCACTGCTCAGGGGAGCAGCCAGGCTGCAGAGAAGGGAAAATGCCAACTGCTGCCAGACAAGCCAGGGAAGGCGGCCTGGCTCTCTTTCCTGAGCATACCAGGGAGAGGAGAGGTGCTTGACTGATGTACTGAATCTAACTGGAAAGGAATCTAAGAGTGAATTATTAGCTCATCTCCTTCTCACCTTTGTTCAAGTTCTACCTTTGAGATTGGCTTCTTCTCGTAGTTGCCAATTACTGACAGACATCGAGGTTGCCAAGTATGTTAGGTCTTATTTTAGAAAGGAAATGATGTGACAAAGCTGGTGTTTTTAAAAAATACAGATGTAAAGATTTTCTATAGCAAGAAGTTATTCACTAAAGGTGTTTTCCCCAGTGTATTTTATGGAGCCATCTACAGTATTATCCAACTCCTAGAATCTAGTTTCTCCTCATTTTTCATAATGGAAATTGCTAGTAGGCATTGTCTGGAAAGCCATAGAAAGAAAGAAGGGTTTATCAACTGATGATTATGGGTGTGAGTCTCAGAAGGCTAGCTGTGCAGAAACATTTTAATTTTGCAGAGCAAGGGCCTTCAGAAGCAGTGAAAGTACCAGGATTTAAGACTGCAGAACCCATAACTGTTGTTTATAACCTCCTGTAGAGTCAAAGGAAGACTGCATTTCTCCCTTTCTAACAGAATAGAAAGCTAAGACTCTATTTGCTTCCCCCACTTCCCTCTTTCCATGAAAGGGAGAATTTTTCTATGGAAGAACCTCTTTATTGAGGCCTTGATAGAAGCTCCCTCATAACACTGATTTACCTATGAAGTAATCTGGAAAGAGGAAATTAGCATCTACATCTCCCAGAAGGCAGATTAAAACTGTGAAGAGGAAGGATAACAATCTTCATCTGCGCTAGTGAAAACATTTGGTGCAATGAATAGCAACAGTTCAATTAGCTCCATGGCAGAGCTTGCCTTTGAGTGTTTATTAAAATGCTTTCTTGTTTCCAGCCACTTTTTGTAAATTCGGACTAGCGCTCATTTACATAGAAGACATATCACAATAATCCGCTGGGCTACAGAGACCCAGGATCCAGGAATCGCACTGGGACTTCATGTTCCTGCGATTTTCTGATAATGCCTCCCTGCGCCTGCAGTAAATCCAGAGGAAAGCATACGGACCAGGAAACAGCTTGCTGTTTCCTCTCTGCTGCAGGAGAGATAATGAGTGACTTACAGAGGAATTTAAGACCTATTCTGTAAACTTAAACTAGTAAATGAGTTAGGATCCAGAGACGGCCACTAGGTTCTGTTTGCAGAAGGAGTTAATCTGATCTTGATTTAACAGCTGAAAGTCAAACAGCCTATTGAGCAAACTCGAGGTAAATTTTGGCACCCTTCCAGATCAGTGGCTTTTGAGAATGAACACATTCAGACACTATGATTTTTAGTATGTCATTTATTTAAATCAAAATCAATGTAAATTTTCAAGGTGTGGATTTCAAAGTATATAAAAAGAAATTCACGTTCAGAGCAAACAATTTTGTTCAATGTTTATAAAAAATAAAATTACATTTTTGGGGGGAGTGGACCATGTAACACGAAGAATTTCTTCACCGGAATTCAAATTTCTACATGCAAAATAGTAAGTCACTTCATTTTTGGGTTGGCCAAAAGGTTTAAGGAGCCCCCATGAAATAGAAGAATTAATTTGTTAAAAGGCAGGAAGTATAATCATGGCTCAGATTATGGGAATAGCCAGTGAATGAACCAAAGTAATGAGACCTTTGCAACCTCCAGGGATTCAGCCACTTGATCATTCCTCTTTTGAAGCACTTTCAAAAGTACACTGTGTTATTTTGGTGACTGACACAGGTCTTGGTTCTGTACAGAAATAAGAAAAACTGACCTGTTTGCTTAATAATTTCCGTGTTTGTTGCATATGGATGGGTGAGTGGGGTGAGTGAGGAGGAAATGCTCTTGATGTCATTTCCAATACAAGCAAACCTGCTTTATAAAACATTCTAATCTTGCCTTTTTTTTTTTTGGTTTATCTACAATTTTTTGTATACAGTAAGGTTTATAGATATGACCTAGATGAAAACCAGAGGAAACTGACAGTGGCAAATAATTACCAAACTTAAATGTGGGAGGAATGACAGGACCCCACTGAAGAAGCAGGTGACCAAAGGCTTGGATTTTGGACTCATCCGTCACTTAACAGTTGTGTCATATTGGGCACATCACTAAACCTCCGTGAGTGAACAGTTTTTGTTACTGTGAGGACGGATGAAAACCACAGAAAATTATTCTGGTTTTTCCCCACCCTGGAGAGCTGTGTAAGGAAACAAAACTGATGAAATGCTGGTGAAGAACTTCAAGTGGATAAATATATACAGATTTGCACATGCTTGAGAGGTTAATAACTTCTTTCATAAATTATAGAGCTCCTGACTTGCATATTCGGGTGGTCCTTGTAGTAAAAGTAGCAGTGTTTGGTATCTGAATCCCTCGCATAGGATGCAAGGTCTTCCTACCTACTCAACAACGGCTAGCATATATGTTGTGATAATGAAAGTTAGAATGATATGCTTGTCAGTTATTTAATTATTCCCCCCAAAGTCAATTACTTGTATTTTGGAAGAAGTAGAACTCTGTAGTGAAAACACAAAGACCTGAAAGCAGTGCATTAATTATTTTATTAATTTCTTCTTTTTACATTATGGGAAACATTCATCTATTTACACTTTTTTTTGTCCACACATAATTTAGGTAAATAAGCCTACGAAATTCCAATTCATAAAGCCATAAAAATGTTCCCCACCCTCCATCTGAAGGCTTTCAAATGAATCTTTTTTTTTCCAAACCAAAATAATTTTTAAAAATTACATTTGGGACTTCAGATATGCTAGTGATTTACATTCCAGTTATTTAAAATATGCATCTACACATGTTTTAAAAAAGAAATGGTAAATTCACAAGGGTAAGGCTTAAATTAAAGTGGTAATGCACAGTAGAACATCAAGGAAACATCTATAAATAACAGAAATATATTACAAATAAATTAGTTCTATTTACCATTTCAAATATTAAAAATCTTTAATCCATTTCTTCATCTCTCTTTACAAAAAGGTTATGTGAATTGTATGGAAACATCTGCAAAAAATATAATAAATACTTAATTTATTTGAAGATTTTTTGATGTGGGAGACAAACTTCTCTTTTAATTCCCCCCCCACCCCCGCCCCAAGAAAATGCCCAAACACCTTTATACCAAAGTTAAACAAAATAAGTAGTTTCTCAGGGTACATACATTTTCCGTTATGAACTAAAAAACATTTCTACAAATTACATCAAAAAGAACAACATAACAAAGGTTATGCTCATGGATGTCAGTTTAAGGGGGCAAGTGGTTAACAAGCAGCTTTATGTGGGGTCATGTTTTAACATCAAGAATTAGCTTTTTATAAAGTGTTTGTACGATTTGTATTTTTAAGGAAGGCAAAGGTCATGATGCCTGTAGGCATTCAGCTAAAAGATTTAAAATTCTTACCAAAAATAGCTTATGAATATACAAATACCATCCACATAGACAAGATAAATAGACCTTCTCTTGTCTCTCTTTAAAATGCCCTGGGCTAAGCCAGTTTCCAAAGAAAAATATTGTAGGATGATCTTGAATCCCATTAGAAATCAATTTCTTAATCTAAAACCTTCTCTCTACCTCAGGGCACAGAGCTGTAGTTGGGAACATGTGTCTTCACACGGATTGCTGCTTCCTTCCCATCAATCTGCGAGTTCCAAGTCATTTTCGGGACTACTACCATAGGCTACCCAAGGTGGCAGTAAACCTTACTTGATGCAAACTTTGTGTGACCTTCCATTGCTACTACGAAGTAAAGAAAAGGTGTGTTCTTTTTAAAACCAGCAAATACTTGAAGCTCAATTTTACAAAGCACTCATGGTGCTTCGGTCACCCTAGTTAAAAGTTGATTGGTTGGTTTTTTAATAAGTTAGTAGCCCTTTTCTTGTAAACCACAGCAGTAAACATTTGTGCCCTGTTTATAAAGATAGCTCAAAGCATCAATGGCTCTGAGAGGTAGCGAATTCTCTAGTGGTTTTAGAATATATCTGTGAAAGTAGGTGCCAGAACCCATCACCTCTCTTATTTAAATAATTTCATAAATAAAATGAAATTAGCACCTGGCTATGAGAGTGTTTTTTTTTTTTAAGAAAAAGCTTCTCTGGTGCAAGCATATTTGATGCATGTTTTGAAAAGTCTTTCATTATTCAGTGGTAATTTCTAATGCTTTAGGCTGGGAGCTGGACATAAAATGCCAGTGGCAACTTTAAGAATTACCACATTCTAAATGTTTAAACTGCTAGGAGTAAGGGCATCTAAAGATAACTCCAGCTAGATGCAAAGTGCATACTGCTCATCCATCATGACTAAAAACATTCTCTGCCAAAAGCCTGGGTTTCTTCCAGTGTTTACAAATCATGACTTTTCCCTGCTCATGATTGCTGAACCTTGCAGGTCACGCTTCCTCTCTCATTACCTGGGACCTCAAGATGAGTGGCAGTTCTTTGGAATGAGGCAGCATGTATATTGGGGTAGAACATTTATTTTATTGGTTTGACATAGGACAAAATCCATATGCTGGGGTATGACAGGCCTCTGTGTAGTAGTGAGAAGGCGAAAGAAGAAAATACACCTGCAATACGAAGTACTAGGTTACTACAGATGGATGTGTAGCATTCGAAGGGATAATAGGAACATCCAAACTTCTCTGAACACAGCTGGCTGCCATTTACAGCGTTTCATAAGCAGAGGTGTACTTACCATATATGTGTAATTAGGGAGGCCCCCAGGATGGACACTAACAAATTAATAGAACCGACACTTTCCCCTTTAAAGACCCCAACCACAACATCACTATAATACACATAGTACAATAAAAGTTGATAGAACATTTCAGGTCTAAATTTTCTTGATAATAGGACAAAAAAAATCCCCTTATGTAGTATTTTCACCCTCAGTGCTTCATTTGCTTTGCCTTTCTTCATTTTATTGCCTTTCAGAATAGATTAATTTCCCTGAAAGATCGAATTTACAATCTTCTGCTGATTGAAACATCTGAAGCAGTGATTGATGAGATAACAGTGAGGCAGTTTGTGCAGCTGTGAGTTTTGCAGGCTCCCCCCAGCACCTGCCTTTCCCACTACAGATCCTAGTCCCCCACCCCCAGCCCATCTTCGTTCCCTCCTGGTTTGTCACTCATTGATTCCGGTGAGATGGCGTGATTTCTGAGGTTGGAAATAAAGGGCTCCCTCTGCTTTGCAAAATAATAACCGTTTCGGGGAAATAAGGAAATCGGAGCCCTAGTTTCTTTCGCGTGGAAGACGGCTAGGTCCCAAAGGATCACCCTGTGATACTGGATTTCTGAAATACCCTATAAGTTGTATATTGCTGAGCTCTAGGGTCAGACTAGCTTGAGAGAACTGAGGATGGAGGGCGACTTAAGGGGGCCATTTCTACACGGGTGGGCGCGGTCTCGCCGAGAAAAAGAAAGGGCTGGCTGTCGGATGAGCAGGGTGACGCGTCGGCACGGCGGCGAAGCGCGGTGAAGAACGTGGCGGACCGGTCGGGTTGGCAGGGGCGGGGGCGGCTCCCGCAGGAGCCACGGGAGCTGAGCGCCGGCCCCAGGGCGGAGGGCGGGGGAGAGGGGCAGGTGCGCGGCGGCGCCGGCCGGGCCTCAGAGCCGGGTCTGCGCCTCGGGGATGTAGATCTCGATGCTCTCGGCGCTCTCGGTGGCCGAGTTCTGGCGGACGGACGCGGCGCGCTTGGCGGCCATCAGGCGCTTGCGGGCCTCCTGGCGCTGCGAGCTCTCCAGCGAGCGCTCCCGGATCAGCGGCGCGGGGCCCTTCGCCGGCTTCTTGGGCACTGGAGGAGGGGCCCTTCTCTCCTGATCAAAGCAGAAGGTTCAGGACATTACACAGCTTCTCAGGACAAGCTTGGGGAAAACTGGGATAGGTCAGCAGTTAGGACACACATTCTTTTTTTTTTTTTTAACCTACGGGTGGTTATCTCTGCTCTGAACACTGTATATATATATATATATTCTTTATTATTCTGGCTTGGGTATTCAAAAGATGCGGGAAAGGGGAAAAAAAAAGTACCGGTAGGCTTAGGGTCAAGCGTAAGACTGGATGGCAGAGCTAGGGCTCCCAAGGGAAGGATGTGGGTACTTTAAAGGCCCCTGTGGAAAGGCGGCGGCTCCCCGCACGTTTAGTGTGGTTCTCTCCGGAGGCTCCGGACCCGTCTGGGTGCCCGAGGTGGGAAAGGCCTGACCAGCAAAGGCCTGGCGGCGTCTGAGCACTCTGCATCCCATAAGGAGGCCAGGCAGCGGCTGCCCGCTTGGTTCAGAGTTTAAGAACATCACCGCCCTCTCCCGGGACCCACTCAAACCTAAATAACCAAATGAGGAAGAAGAGGTAAGTCTGGGTTCTTTAGTTTTGTTGATGCCACAGTGAGTTACATCCCTTCTCGCCCGTCACACACACACACACACACACACACAGCGATCCACTTTCCAGGGTCATCCCGGAGGGGGGGGGGGTGTCACTGAGAGTTCCTACACTGGGGTGCATCCGTCCCAAGATGACTCCTAAAACATCACTCCTTAGGGACCTCAGGGTGAGTGTGGTAGCCCGGAAGGCAATTCCAATCATAGGGACATACACGGTGCCATGAAACTTTAACTCAGGCTAAAAGAGGTCATTCCCCTTTTCAGCAGCCAACTATAAGACAGTCGGATGTTTTTCAATGCCACTGCAAAAACAAAAGCTGTCAATAACTTGGGCTGGAAAAAAAAAATGCAGTAGGAAAGAAGGGAGTCTAAACCACACGAGGAAAAGGATGGTGAGCTTTCCATCTGTGAAAAGGTCCACGTGAATCTGTTGTTTTCATTTGTAATAAAATGTTCAATTTTCATAAAACTAAATGTGAAAATTACGAAATATGGACTCTGTGATTCTCCAAAGGGCAGTCTTTGTGTCTTAACATTTATGTTCACCATAGCAGTTCTTCCTTGCTTGCCTGGTTACACTCATCACATTGGAGCTGCCCGCAGGCTGTTTACGGTGGCGTCTGTGTGGACAGGAATGGGAAGCTCGGAGCGCAAACAGTACTCCGCCAATGACTGTGCTTGTTCATTTTTGCCCTCCAAATTGATGGGATGATGAAAGGCTCTGATCATAGACAAAGTGTATAAAAATTTAGAAATCAAGTTAACGAATGGCTTACTGTGTAACTGTCAAAATATACCAATTCTTAGCACCACAACTTTTGGACATTCTAAATCTTCATTGTTGGGTAACTTGGTGATATTTTTAAAAGTCTGAATATCGGAACCTTTTTGATCTTATCTTCCTTCCCTCATACTTTTTTAAACAATCATACTTTTTAAAAATCTGTGAATGAGAAACGAGATGGATCAGCTCTGGAGACTAAATTACCGGTATGAATGCTCATCTGTAATGTTTTTTTAAAAATAAGATCAATTTAAAAGCTTGTTTAGCAGACAGTTTTAAACACAGATTAAAGAAAACTAGACTGAGTGCAAATATTTGGCTTTCCAAGTGGGAGGCCCCTTATACATCAATGGTACTTTCATGCTTAACACTAAAATGGCCTTGTTGATGGTGACAGCATTGGAGATGAGGGACAATGATGATAGCCCTCCTGTCAATTAACCACTGTGCCTTGGGACCAGATTTCCCCTGGCAGCCCCTTGATCCCATGTACCCCTGCTACTCTGATGAGGGACAGCAGAATGCACTGGACTGTGGTGGCTCTTGCCACCCATGCTTCATGGGAATAGCCAGGCCTAATTTTTCGAAGTTAAATCTCTTGGAAACATTTGACCTCAGTTAAAAAAAAGCATGCATGATAGGCTAGCCTAGGGAGGTGCACATTGGGAATTTGTGTGACCCTGATGGAACCACAATAATCAAATGTGAAAATTGCAGTTTATTAATTAAAGGAAAAGAATTTGAGTATTTCTGAACTGTTGCATGAGGAACCCAGTGAGCAATATTTCCCAAGGCAAATCAACCCCAAGTAAAACTCTTAAAAAAAAAAACCCAACATTTATGATTACTGTGAAACTTTATGGTATATATCTTTAAATTTGAACAACAGTGGTTTCTTTGTTACTATATTTGTGAAATGATTATCAATGTCAATTAGTTTCTAGGGCTTCCTATTTTTCTTGGAAACACATCCTAGGGGTGTGAGGAAGTTGAACTCTTGTTCTATGTAACCATGCACTGAAGATGTCATTTATTTTAGTTTAAAAAGCAAAATGGAGGCAGTTCCTTCCAGTGACTAAAATGGTTTAACTTAAAGTTTAATTAACAAAAAAAAAGCCACATTCCCATTTTCCAATTCACAAAGACAGGTTTCTTTTTAAAAATATGCCTGAAACATATTACAGATAATATCTCAAATGAGTACTATGTAAACATTGTCATTACAATGAAGTTAATATGATATCAGCTTCATTTCACATTGTAAACAGCAAGACTGAATGCAGAAGCCTATTTAGACTGTCCAGTGTTTGTGCAGGTTTTTAAATGAACCATACAAAATCTACATTGTTCTACCTTCTTGTCAAGAGGATCCATCTGTTTCCAATTATTGGCCTTTAACTGATGAAGTTCATCAAATTTCATACTAATATTTTCTATGGACAACTGCAGCATGTCCCAGAAGCCCGCCAGATCCTGGGAGGTGGGCCTTGGATGAGCATTGGGATTCTGCATAAGAGAAAGGAAAACATTCATGCTTCAGAAGCAATCTGTGACCACAGCGCAGGACCAAAGAGGCATTTTCAAATATTTCAAGTAACATAGGGAGGATGAATCCCTTTTGGTTTGCAGACAGAGGATAAAAGTGAGGCTACAAAAGGTAAATTTTATGTATTTATTTTTAATTATATGTATATACATATATTTCAGTTTTGTTAAGATATAACTGACAAATAAAATTGTAAGATATTTAAGATTATAAAGCATGATGATTTGATATACATATATACATTGTGAAAGGACTCCTCCCATCAAGTTAAGACATCCATCGCCTCACATGCTTACCTTTTTGAGTGTGTGTAAGAACATTTTAAGTTCTACTCTTTTAGCAAATTTCGTTAATACAACACAGTGTTATCAGTTATCATAGGTTACAGTCACCACTGTTGTACAATAGATCTCAGACCTTAGTCATCTTATAATTGTATATACTCTCTTACCAACCCCTCCTTATTTTACCCGGCCCAGAGTCCCTGACAACGCTTTTCTACTCTCTTTATGAGTTTGCCTTTTTTAAAATTCCACTTCAAATGCTAATTTTGTACACTCATCCTACTGAGTCAGTGGTTCTCAAATGTTAAGGTTGTAAAACTCTTCTTTGTAATACAACTTATATCAATACGGTATTGGGAAAGAGTCTAAATATTTGAAAAATCCCAGAATGTATGATATACAAGATGCATTTATATCATCATATTTAAAAGATGCATTTATATTATCATATTTAAATGGAAATACCATCTTTGAAAAAAAAAACACAGTATATAATTACTAGAGCTGGTATTCTACTCCATTCCATCAAATTTGTTCAGAGAACAGATAAGGAATCTAAAACAAGATTTAATACTCAAGTTGACTGAAACAATAGGATAAACAAATGATGAGTAATAAAACTGGATTTTCAAAGCACTATATATTTAACAATTAAGATGTTATTAACATAGGAAGTCATTTTATTATACAACTACTTTGACAAAGTCATTTGGGAATGAGTTAGTATTAAACTGACCATATCATAATATAGCAAGTGTGAGAACTCATATCTATACATACACACAGATGTCTGTAATAACCCATTTGCTATGTTAAACATCTTTCGGTGTTTAAGGATTGACTTTCTTTGCCTACATCCACATATACCTGACAAATCCTAGAAGTATAAGCCACTAATCTATGTGGTCTAAAACAGAAAAAACATAACTGAGAGACGGAACGTGGCATGCTCATTGTTAATCACTCTCTGCAACAGTCCCCAAAGGCATTCATGGTGAGATAGGAGGACTCGTATGGCAGAGGGTTCCAGCTGAGGTCAGTTCTAGTTACCTCTGGATATTCCAGGTAATTGGATAGACTGAAACCTCATGCCATATAATAACTTGAGGCCAGTTTGTACTTTTAAAACCAAACCCTATAAAAAATGATATCATCAGGATTTCAGAAAGTGCAAGGTTGATGACCATCAAAGTTAATAGGTTGGAAAGAACTTTTTAGCCCTGTGGTGGACTAGCATGATTGGTCTGGCTTCAAAATAAATACAAGTAAAGATATATTTATAAACTTATACTTCTAAAACTACTTATAATTTTGAAATTCACTGGAAGAAGTAAATAAATTCTAAAGTTTATAGTATTCACTTCAGTATTAAACTCTATTCCAATGACACTTAGATTAACGAAAGGGTTACTCTGTAGTATTTTGATTTAGTAAATGAAAAAAATGTTTCTTAATATCTAGGTTCATAATAGACAGCTAATAGCTTTGACAAAATACCTCTCAAATGGAATATTACAATCCCACAAAGTATTTCCTTATCTTACTGGTAACTAAAAACTAAATTGCTCATATTTTGGAGTCCACAAAATTCTTGTAGATCACAAGCCTGATTGGCTAAATCACTTCGGCGCACCAATGCATGAAATGGTAGTTCAATAGACCCAAAGTTCATTTCACTCTGAATTGGGCAATTTGTTCCCTCCTCACCAAGAACCTCTTTGCCTCACCTCATCAAGGGGATGGATGGGGATGCAGGAGAAAGAGCTCTGGTGCTCCCCCAGTCTCCAAATCAGTGGGCCATGTGCTACCCTGTGCACTAGAAGGAGTTGTAGGACTTGCCTTAGTCTGAACCAGGCCACCTGGAGGTCAGAGGGGCTGAAGGAGTGGAAGGATGAGGAAGGATGAGGTGGCTCAGTTTTGTTGGAAAAAGTAACTCTCATGCATTTATCGTATGCCTGAGAGTCTAGTCGGAGATAACTTGCAAGTGTTGTCAAGTGTTTGCCTCCACACAGTAAGAACTCAAGAGAGTTGGGTCTGGTTGTGACCAATCTCAGTGCCACTTTGACGTAACTTTGTAGACCTAGGCAACGGTGGTGACTGATCAGCCCCATGTGCCTCTGTGAGGGTGAGGAATGGAACTAAGATCCTGGGCAGGTGGGGTATACAGGCTTTGACGGCAGTCAGATAGCGATTGGAATCTTGATTGTGTCTTACCAAGTGGTCCTGGGCAAGTTACTTAGCTTTTCCATGCCCATTTTCCTCAACCATAAAACCATCCATAAAAAATAATGACACTTTCTGTTTCATAGGGTCTCTCTGAGGACTTAAGCAGATCATAAATCTAAAAGCTCTTAGCATGGTATCTGGCACATAGTGAGTTCCTGACCTTCTCTCCTGGGGCAGCGTTTCACCAGTCATCAGTGGCCTCTGCCTGCAGGGTACCTCCACCTCAGTCTACCTCTTACAGGCTTCTCACATTTGCCATCTCAGTTTTTCTCATAGTCAAGGAATGGGAGCCCATCAGGAACCAGGAAATATCAGAAGCTGGCTGTAACAAGGTTAACCTTTCCTAGAAGCCTGCAAAGTTTTCGAAACATTTTGTCTGCAATTTCATCTTCAAAATGCACAATGTTTGCATTCTACTTCATAGTAAACCTGCTTAGTATATAATTCTCCTAAAAGGTATGCTGTGTTTGCCTTATAGCATGCACATATTGGTCTCCACATGTATCTTTTGACCTGTTTGAGAAATAGCACTTTTATATAAACTTTCTTATATTTAAAAAGAATCATGTTAATTCAAATGTATGACCCATTAGCAAGTTTACAAAGTAGCAGGAATTCTGTACCCGTTACATGGGGAAGCTAAAGAAAATATTTGTTGAATTCACTTGTCAATACATTTGCTAATATGTGTTATCTCATAATCCAGAACAACATTTCTGAGGAGGTGGGAGAGGGTTGAGTAATTTTTGCTGAGTGAGGAAAAACAGACTAGAGATGTGGGGAGTGCAAAGAGAGGGCTCAAAAGAAAAGCCTGGTGGGAGGGGCTGGTGAGCACCACCTTTTGCATGCTTTATATTTTCTCTTGGTTGATAAAATATCTCCTGTCTAGAAAAACACATTCAGTCTATATCTGCCATTGCTAACAAGATGTGGTTAAAACTCCAAAATCATAGTTTGGGTCAATTAGACTGCAAATAATCATGCTTTTAACTTTCCACATGATAAATGGGTTGCTCTTCTTTTCATTTTGTTTATTTTAGATCCAGCTTATACCAACAATTTATCAATAAACGCTATTCTTGTGGAATGACACCTGTCGAGACAGTAGCAGTTTTTAAAAAAAAGGCATATGTGAGGACACTCGTGCCTTTGTAATTTGCAATTTTTAAAATGTTGCTGATGCTAGTAGTGTTTCTGTGTCTTTGTTTTGCTTCATGTTGTTTCTGTGTGTTCAAGAGGGATGAACTATTCATTTGTCTGTGGGACTTGAAATCTATTATTTTGTGACTCCTTTGAATTAGAACACAGAACTCTGGTGAGGAAATAAGGCTTGCTGGCTATTTCAGAAAGAAAATCACTGTCCAAAATGGTTTCCTGTAAGATTATTTTTGAAATATCAGGCTGCTCCATATTTTGGTAAGAAAAATGAAATCAGAGATGCCATGTGAAAACTGAGAAAATGGAAAATTTTCAGTTATGAAAAAAAGCAGGAAATGGGAATTCTAACTGGATTGGATTTTCTCTTCTAAGATTACTTAAGTATAAAACAAATATTTTTAAGTTTAAGAAAAGCAGGAAAGAAGAGTCATCAGAAAACTCTATTCCAGGTGAGAGTCCACCGGGGCTTGAGTGGGTCAAAATCAGTTTTACTTTAGTTGGGCCAGTCTTGACAAAATGTTCTACTCACAGTACTAGAAGGGAAATGGTAGTGATGGGGAATGTTACCTACCAGGTTTTCTTCACACAGTTCTCTGAACTGGTAGAATTTCTGGGCCATAAGAAGTTGGGCACTGCCCACTGCCGTTCGGATCTTCCCTAGAACTGAAGAGCAAACAGACACGAAGTTTACACATAGGTGTCAATGCTGAGATGTCATCTGGTAAAGCAAGAGGAAATTAAGCTGTAATAATTAGGGAAAACAGCATGCATCCTGCACACGCACACATCCACGCAGCCCAATCAGCGTCCTTACTCTGTTGGTCCAGGAAACAGAGACTCCTAGGTTAAAGGATAAAATCAATGTGGAAAAACCCACGTGCTCATTTTGCATATTTCTAAGGAATAATGGAGTTTTCCATCACAGCACCAGATGTTACCAAGAGAAGAGGCAAATCATTATGTGTTTTTTTTTCTTTTACTGTAAGGATGCATTTCAAGTGTTCACCAGTATAGTTATGTATTTATTAGTGCCAGCAATCATGGTTGGCTAGCTTGCTTTTCTAATCCGAATCCAAACACAAGAAAAGTGATCCTAACTCAGAGAGGCGAATCTCTTGGCACTCACCATATCCCATCCACAGCCTTCATTATTTTTCTGGAGCTCAGCCACCGGTACTGTCAGGAAAGAGCCACACCAGTCAAAAGATTTTCCAAGTGAACATTTTCAGTCTGTTTCCTAGGGAACACCAGCACCAGCCCAGCTTTTTCACTCCACAGACCAATTTTATTGTTCACATAGGTTTAATTCCCTATGCACGGTGCTGAAAATTTCCTTTGCAAGCTACTTCTTGTCTTCCATGCAGTCTGAGGCGAGAACCTTTCAACGGATGGCGCGCTGTGACGGGGTGGAGCTGCTCTGCACTGAGCTGTCCCGAGGTCTACACTGTCCCTAAGGCTCTCCCTCCAGCCCGCGGGGACCAGGACACAGCTGTGCTGCTGGAGCCCTGCCACCAGGCAGTTCTCAGCATGCCCTCCCTGGCAGCAAGAGGGGGCGAAGGCCCGGTGCTCGCCCCTTCCCAGCCCACGTAGAGAGCCAGAGAGGGAGGCTGCTCAAAATGCATGTGCTCTCTGCGGAAGCCTGCATGGTGAGCTGTTAGAGGCTGAGGCAATGGTTTTGCTGTGATTTTTCTGAATTTACAGAACCCGAGCCTCCAAGTGGAAATAGGTCCCCCTTTCTTGACCTCATTCCCCACAAATTCTGAGAAGAAAACAAAAGATAGAGGAATTTATTTGGGCCCAGGGTCTTCCAGGAATGTGCTTCTGTTGGTTTAAAGCTGCCAGGCCAGATAATGGCTTATGATGAATGCTATACCTGGACACTACTCAAATGCTTCAGCATTCCCACATTGGTAACTCGGGGCACTTATGAAGGCTCTCATATGTCACCAGTCACACCAAACAGCTGACTTGCAGAGATCTGCCTCCTTGGGGACAGGAAGGGGTCCTCCTTGACAGTTGTAAGGCAGCAATTCCTTAGGCCTAAGTTTTCTTTTTTTGCAATCTGCTTTAAAATTCTTTTGGGATGGTCAGCCTTTTCTCCTTTAATGGATCATTCAGCTGTGCAAGGCCTCCTCTTCCTTTCTCAACACTCCTGCAGCAGAAGGGACACGTAGGGAGACCTACAGTACCACTGTAGCTAGGGCTTCTGGCTCCAACATGCACCAGCAACTGCCCTGGACAGGCCACTTAACTCTTTATTCCCATATGTAAAATGGACTAATGGTACTTATCTGTAGGGTTGTGGTGAAGGTTAAAAGTGGTAATATATGGGAATTGCTATAGACAGTGTCTGATATAAAGTAAGCACTCAGTGAATATTTGTTGTTACCTAGGACAAGAACACTACACTTCTTCTATGGGTGTGCCGACTGTGAACCTTACACTTACTCTGTCCCTGAGAGAAGAGGAAAAACCCAAAGTCAGAATTATTTAAAGGTGACCAGATGTCCTCATTGCCTGGGATGCTTTGGATGACCTGTCCCATATCTGAGATGCATCTGAGAGTGCATTTCCTGGACAAGCATGCGGCTTTAGGCAAACTCTGAGGTTCTGCAAGCTTCTCTGAATTATCTTGCTGAAGGGTAGGATTGTGACACCAGCAAATCTCAGAATGAATCATGGGAGCTTAGAACAAGTACCTCAATCTCAGTTTGTTGGCTGGAATACACAGCTCCAGGTAACTGTCATAGAAACTCGAGCTATTCTGCTCTACCTCTAAACTCTGAGCTACTGGTTCTCAATTACACCAACATACCTGCACTATATAATAGAGTCCCATAATAAGAGCCTCTGAGTAAGACAGGATTCTCAAATGAGGAGAAAGCACTGCTCCAAACAATCTTTGAGGTAACACCCAGCCACATAGGTAGGGGCTAACTCGATGTCTTCTTAAAGTAAAACAAGAGACATCTTTCTTCATATGGCATGGTCTTGCAAGAACCCTGGATCTGGAGCAATAATATCTGGGGTGGAGTTGTGGCCCTTCTGTTTCTCAGGTCTTTGTCATCATGTTCCTTGAGTGGAAATTCCCTATTGGCTCCATGATTATTTGCATTTCCAGCGTCCAAGGGAAGATCTTGCCTAGGTTCAGGGGAGGGAGATGGTGACCTGGAGCTCCAGCGAGGCCATGAAACAGGCAGGCCTAGAACAAGCAGGTGATGACTCCAACTTCCTTGCCCTTCACACTTCTGTTTCTAGAGAACTAAAAACTCACTTTAATTTTTGAGAAAGCAGCTCTAATAGAGTTTGTTCTGTTTTTCTATTAGATATGTGGTGTGTGAGATAAATTTTTTCTCCTGAAAGTAAATTTCATAGTTGTTACATGGGCCTTGAGAAACAGAAAAACTAATAAACAGTAAGTGGGAAAATGAGGTAAAAGGCTGAAAGTTGGTAAAGAAATGAGATGAAGTAGAAAGAAGCATCTTAATGGCATTTGGAAAGTACTTTAAAGCTTAGAGTTTTATACCAACCTCCAGCGGTTGGGAAGAAAAATATGTCTCTCAAGGATGCTAGGAAAGAAGGATAAAGGAGCAACAGTAAATGAGACACACCCATGGGCTGCAACTGTGGGCTTTTCCTATGCATATAAAGCAGCCCAACTTGGTATTAGAAAGTTCCAGAAAGGCCTAGAAATAGTGCATCTTTTCAAGTTAGCCTTGTATCCAGTTTAGTGTGGTGGCAGTTAACAGGTGGCAGTTAATCACAGGGGCCAACCTGGCTCTCATGGGCAAGGCAGACCTTCAAATAACATTTATACAGATCAGGGACAGTCCATGTGGGCTTTGGGAAATCACTCATTCACTCAACAAACATTAGTAAGTGCATACAGTGTGCCAGGCACTGTGCTGGATGGATATGACATGGTGATAAGCAAGACAAAGTCTTGCCCACATGGGTTACATTCTGGTGAGGGATAGATATAAATGTTTGCGACTTCTTAGATTACTTGGATTGGGACAGATGGGACTAAGCATGACTGAGTAATTCAAAGGACTGTGAATTCCTTAAATGGTGAGAAAACATTCTACATTCTGTGTTCTTGGTCTCTTTCCTATAAAATGAAAAACAAACAAACAACATGGTTGGGGGTAGTGGTATCATTTGCAATATGAAAATTGGCTCTGGACTAAATGGTTCATTTTAGTAATCGTCATTTGAAAATGCCACTCATTTTTATTTGGAAAAATATTAAAATACATGAAAGTACACAGGGCGATATAGCAAACATGCACGTATGTGCTCTCCTCCAAAGGAATGCATGTTAAAGTTTTTTCAAATTTGCCTCTGAATTTGTTTTTCTTATATTTTTTCTCTCTCCAATAAAATGAAGCCCTTCAGATCAATGTATGTTCTCCATTTCTGTCCCATTCGCTTCCTCCCCAGAAGAAACACTGCACTAGACAGTGAACATTCTGATCCCATCTCTGAATTTATGAAGGTTTCCTCCCTGGCCCTAGAAAAGGGACAGCTAAAGGCCTTCCTGAATTCAAGCAAGAAGCACTGGACTGGGGCGATCTCACTAGCACAGTTGAGACCCACAGCCTTTCAGACTCTCTGAAAGTTAGAATGGGGTTTTAAGGTTCTGTTGATTTAGGAGGAGAATGTACTCCTGGGCTGTGCTTAGTGGGTTTCCTTCACTCGCCAGGTTATTCAACCAAGTGTGGTTAACAGTTTTTACCACCCATCTCCCTTAGGGCACATTCAGTGTCTCTTCTGAGATAACCATCTCTGTTGTATCCCACCAAGCATACCACTTGACCATGATTTATATCATGTATTGTGTAATATTTCATCATATTATAGGCCTTATTTTGCTGTGCCACTCTTTTTATATAGGTAAGTCTGGTCTCCCTAAGTGTCTTATAAGCATCCTGATAGTGGATTTTTATGATCCCTTTCTCTCTTTCCTTTCCTTTCCAAGTCTATCCTCAGTGGAAGTGAGAAACAACAACCCAGAACACTGCTGAACTCAACTGCTTCTATTTAAGAAGTGGGCACTTCTTTATTAACTCCCCACTTATAATTCTAGAAACCTCTCATCTCACTGTAGATGGCCATTGGGAATCAGGCGTGGGTTAGTTTATATAAAGCCAGGAAGATCTTTTGGAAGGCCATCACTGTTTGCTTTTTGCAAAAATCTGGCTATTTATATTATTACTTTGTATGTCAAAGCACTTTCACATGCACATCTAATCTGATTCTCACAGAACCCTGTGAGGCAGGGCAGATATCATTTTGTCTGAGAAATCTGGGCCCAAAGTACACAGTGCCTTCTCTGGGGTCATACAGTGCCTGGATCCCCATCTCTTCATTCGGTCCAGATGTGTTCTTTTCTCGCAACACTTTTTGAAAATTGGGTCTGGATCTACTTAAGTGATGCCAACTGAGGGTGGGAAATTTCTTTCTTATCAACACTGTCTAGCCAGTGTCAATGGACAGGAGGAGGAAGGGAGGCTGTAACAGGTCAGTGGAAGAAATCTGAAGATGTTTAGCAAACCCGTCCCTGTCCACATTAGGATGGGAGAGCGAAGCACATCTATGTAGCAGAAGTAATTGTCACACAAACAAATCAGTTGTGAAAAGAAGGGAGGAACCAGGGATCA